AAAAAAAAAAAAAAAAAAAAAGCAAGGATCGGGGCAGGGCGGACGGGCAGGAGGGGCCGCCCCGCGCTCGCTCCAGGGCCGCGGCTCTGCTCTCCGCATCCCGCCGAGGAGGGAAGCTCTCGCTCTGAGTCCCCGCTCCAAGTTTTTCAACAGGTTTCTGGAGTGGTCAGACCCGCAGGGCCAGGGCAGTCTGTCCGGGAAAACACCCCCTATTTGTAAGTGTTTTTGGTTTGGTTTTTGTATTTCTTTCCTCCAAAATCTTTCAAATTTCTCTTGCTCCGCTCTTGCTCTGACCGAGAGCTGATGCAGAGGGAGCTGCGGGACTGGGGTGGAGAGAAGAGCAAGAGCAGCCTCTTTTTTCCCCATGTTTTGTTTTCTTATCTTCCTATTTACGTTTTTATTTATTTCCCTGGGCTCCCTGTCTTCTCCAGGCTGCTCCCAGCCGGGCGGTGCCGCGCTGCGCGGGCGCGCATCCTGCGCGCACCCTGCGCGCACAAGGCGGCCGGCGCGCACGGAGCCGGACACTCGCACTGCCCAAATCCCGCTCCGCAGGGCGAGCACCACGGGAGGCCGAGTCACCCTGGGCAGAGCAGAGCAGGCCCGGCCGGGGCAGAGCACCCTCGCTGCGCGGAGCCCCGCAATGTGCGCGGGCTGCGCAGGGGGCTGCGGGGCCGCAGGTCGCCTTTGATTCCGCCCGCCCGGGCCACTTCTAGGCCGGGCGACCTGTGACCCGTGAAGAGACATGTGTGGGGCAGCGGCTGCCTCCGGAAAGCGCACCTCGGCACAGGCAGCCCTTTGTGAGCCTCGCGGGGCAGCCGGTGTAAAGAGGGGGGCGGTAAATGGGGGGAAAATAATGAAAATCTCAGCTAAAGCTGCAACTTCTAATTTTWTTTATTTATTTATTTATTTTTTTTTTGGTGTCAGCACGATGGCACGGGGAGGAGGCAGCAGGCAGGAGCACCTTCCTTCCATGCCATTAATATTTATTGATCCCTCAGTGGCACTTAGCAAAACAAAATAATAATAAATAACAATAATAGCGCTGCCACACGCCGGGCAGGGCCGCGGCGCAAGGAGGTGCGGAGCCTGCGGGGCGCGCGGGATCCGCGGCCGGGCGCCCCCGCGCACTTTGCGCGCCCCGTTGCGCGGCTTTCGTGGGGCGCGTAGCTCCCCCTCCGGCCACGRGGCTCGGCGGGGGCGTCACTATCGCCACCCGCCCGCAATGGGGACGTTGGGGGCAGCGCGGAGCCTTCGCTATAGGGCGCGCCGGACTTTGTAATACAATTTAGGCTGTCACTCATAAATAACAGTGCCATATGGTTACCATATTGCTTGGACAAGTAAAGCCGTCAAAGTGTCACTGTTTGATTTATCTCAACGGCTTCTTCCAACGGTGGCGTTGGGCTGCGGGGAGAGGTGCGGGCGGATGGAGCGGGGAGAGACAAAACCCGGGGCAAAGTTGGGMCCGGGTTTCCAGAGGCCGCCTCTGCCCGTGTCCGCGTGTGCCGGGCGGCCGGCCGGGCAGACACGCGCGGCGCTGTCCACGGGCCGGGAACACCTTTGACGGGCCGAGAGGCCCCGTCAGGCGCGGCCAGTCCCTGGCGCTACCGGCCCGAGCCCTCCCGGTGCCGTGTAGCTGCGTGAGACGGCGAGAAACGCCGCTTTCTGGGAGCAGGGGACGTTTACGGCTATTTATCCTTAGGATCCCTGGCCCATCGCAGCCAGGAGGGGACCGAGCTGGGGACACAGCCCTGGCTCTGCCTGTGTGTCCCCGTGACAGACGCTGGCAGGACGGGGGCCCCCATGGAGTTTCCCCTAGGATCCCAAACCCTCGGATCGCCCCTCTTCCCCAAGGCCAGGGTGGCAGCTGCAGCCGCGGGCTTAGCAAGGACGGGGCGGGGGGAAAGCGGAGCGTTTTGAAACGCTGCCGTTCGCGAGCGTTTGCGGCGCACGCCGGCAGCCCCGACGGCGCTGAACGGGCGGCGGGAGGAGAGCGGCGGGACGCGGCCCCTCGCGGCCTCCCCCACCCGGCACCGGCCGAAATCGCCCCAAACGCTCCCGGGCGTGGGCGGTGAGTCGCAAAAACGGGCGCGTTTTCACCTCCCTTCTCGGGGAGCGCCGGATCAACCCCTTCCTGTGCGGCTGGAAAATATTTTTCTCCTCTGTTTTAYAGCCGCTCATAAACGAGGGACTGGCTGTGGGGGGGCGACATATATGCGAATTAAGACGTATGGAATCGATGACAGGCTCACGCCACGCGGCGCCTACCGGGGGCTGCCCGCGGGGACGGCACCGCAGAGCGCCTATAGCCGTGTTTGTTATACAGTGCATATATATACGTATATATCCTTGCTTTATATATACTATGCATATACTATATAAAAGTAAAAATACATTATATACGACACATTATATGCATTGTTATATCATATATAACATATACTTTTTTATATATATGTCTAAGTGTATGTATGTACATTAATGGGAGATGAAAAGTTTTTACTGCCCAACACAACCACCAAGCAGCCGCTTTTATCCTCCCGGGATTGCTCTGCCCCGCTCCCCTCCTCACGGCCCCACGGGCCCGCGCCCCCCGGTASGTCCAGACGAGCGCGGAGCCCCGTCGGGGGTGTGTGGGGGGGCTCCTCTCCGCAGGTGCCTGGAGGGGGGACCCTGCGCCCCCTTCCGCCCCTATTGGGTTCGGGGGCCAAATCCTGACCTACATGTATGTGTAGGCACGGGGGTTTAGCTGTATCTATTTTTTAGGGGGGTGAGGGGACCCCCACCCGGGCTCCCCCAGGCTTTAAGGGAGGCTGTTGTCGTCTCTGCCAGCGTGGCAATTTCGCTCCCGTTATGTCCTCGCTGCAGGAAAGGCGCTGGGAGCCGCTTGGGCGAGGGCGGGTTACGGGGACACCCCCGATCGCTCGGAGCTGCGCAGCGCGGCTGCCCCGACGGGGCGGTCCGGAGCGGGCTCCAAAACTGCTGCCTCCCGAGCATGTGCGGCGGGGCCTCCCCCCGCAGCTGCTCACTCATTTATTTTCTAAAGGAAAGGAATTCCTCCCCCTCCTCCCCCTCTCCTCCC